ATTTTGTCATAGCAGTAGATAAAAGTAAATAAAAAAGTTCCCTTTTAGACCTTGCGATTTATAGGGCAGATGATATTAAGGTCATCTGTTTCTAAGGCCAACAGTTTACGAGCAGGGTGTCATGTGACCAGCACAATGACCAACTACCTTTACTTTCCCCAACTAAAGTCAGGTACCCATTAGAGCTGGGTGGACTTAGGGGTGCCCTAAAAATCCCAAATTCAAAATCCCAATCTTCACTGAGATCCGAACCAAGGATGCTAGGTTCGGAAGCCAAGCACTTAACCATTCAGCCACTAAGTAGATAGCAAAACTTTTTTTCCCTACAATATTAAGCAATATGAGATCTAAATGTTGAAAGTGTGGTTGTTTGGTATATTCTTTGGACTGTCATATCTATAGTCTCAAGTTCAAACCTTGCCCACCAAAATCGCAGGAGATTTGGACTAGAATGTAATAATCTTCAATTCTGAATGAACTTTCAAAACTTTAAGCATTTTTCCTTATTTTATATGCATAATGAATTCATATTTTACTGCACATCATGAAACACACCAGAGATAACAAATGACTTACTTGAAATCTGGTCAATCATGAAGTGTGTGGCTGCCTGATCCCATTCTTCACAGGCTCTACACAATGAGAGACAAGTACTTTGTAAGTTCTTTATTTTTAATTAATTTCTTTAACAATAACAATATGAAAAACAATGTCATTTCTAATTTAAAGATTATCATATACATTGAAAAGATAGCTTGAAACAATCACTAAACAACATCCTGCTAAGAAATACAACCTCTGCTTAGCTTGGTAGCCCTTGTCCCCTAGCTCCATGGTCATTGTGATAGGATGAACATCCCAAAGGCAGCACTTAAGGACTTGTTGTGGATATTCTAAAAACTTGCGTGGCAATGTCATCAACCTAAAAGTAAGCCATTAACCTAACGGTAATACTATTAGAGATACCAATATGAAATGAACTGATAGGATAATAACAGTGGAGGTAACACTTAAATTAGGGACACCCCCAAGAGAGTCTTTAATTAACTATTTTCACCACCCCACCTAGACTGGACATTTTTGGAATATGCTTCAATGGGCTAATCATACCTACTGGGACTGTATGGGCCAAGCGATGAAGGAGAGATGTGTTTGTTACAAACATATTGCCTTTGTTGATTAGTATTCTCTATTTCCTAACTTCTTTTTCGATCACATAATTTCAGAGTTACAATTATTTGTAAGCATTTACTCTCTAAATGTAAAAAAAAAAATGCATTTACTTGCTTGTGTTCTATTTCCTTATGGGACAGTGAAACATAGAGAAGAAAAATGCAAAAGCAAATTTCTTCGTTTTTTTAAAATCAGTGGCCCTGTAAAAGTTTATAGGACAAAAAAGAGTTTTAAGAGATCATTTAGAAAAATACAAAAAGTTGTAAATGATAAATTTTAGTTAAAAGAAAATGATTGTGTAACCCTCCAAGCACAGACCTTCAACACCAACCACCTTCACCTATCACTTAGTCTGTTGGACAGCTTATGATCCATCGACCATATTTCTCCTTCGAACACACACCATACTAATATACTCACACAATCAACCAAATCATTGAATAAACAAATTTAATTACCTATGTGAGTTACAGAGGAACTCTGAAATGTCATCTATTTTGCTGCACCTGATACGCAAAAAAAAAATAATGTAATGAATTTTAAAAAAACGTACTGCAATTTTATTATTATATTATATTACACTCTAGAAATAAAAAATCAATATTGCTAGTATAGTGTGATGCTCACATAAAGCTGTGGTCTGTTACTCTTGAAGTTAGTCTCACTCTATACCAGACTCCATCATCTCCCAATGCAGCACATATGTCTTTCTGAAATCAGAGTTATAGTGTACTATTCAGTTTGGTCAAAAACAACAATTTTAGGTAAGTAAAGCAAAGTTATTATCTTGCTACATTTGACATGAATTTATGAGTGAGATAACAGCATTTAAAGTACCTCAGCAGGTCTGTAAGAAGTAATGCCAATACTCTGCAGTTCATTGAGACAGCTGTTCATTTCTCTGACAAACATGGAAAAAGTAACTGCATCTTCATTGGTCAATATTTTTACTAAGAAATTCCCTGGATGTATAACCTGTAGAAATTTAAAATTTTAATTATATTTCTAGTCAAAGAATAAATACATAATTTAAACACTATACACTTTTATACATTTTTAAAAAATATAATTGTAGTAATGCCTTATTAACATAAACAGTTTTATGCATTTTATCTAATCAGTACAAACTTGTTATTGCTTAAAAATCTATCAAGACTAAATGATTATTAAATCTTATGAGACTATATTAAATGCTGCCTATTCTCTATTCTGCAGTTGAGTATCAAACATAAAAAATCTTGACCTGTTCTGATATCAAACTGCTAATAAAATAATATATATCATACAACTGACATAATTAAGTCACTGAAATTAGAATACCAAGTAACTGATGGTAAGGGCAAGTGATTAAGTATGTGTATTTATGTGCATATACTTGTTATGGAGTGTGTGTGTGTATGTGTGCATTTCCAAGGAGATGACAAAGAAAGGAAGCAATTTTTGTTAGTCTTGTAGAATGATACAAGATTAGCAGCTCTGTCATAATCTATGTTAAAAAGGAGAGATGACTCTAAGATGTTAGACTGTAAGGACTCAGTTTAAATATCAGTTAATTTCACTTTATCTCAAAGTCAAATAGTCTATATTGTTAATAAAAGTTATGTTTAGTTTTGTTTATTTAAGTTATTTCAAGTTCTATAAAATTTAAAATATCATACGCCCCTACATTGCTTTAGTTGTTCACTAGTAATCTGGTGCTACAATTAATGACCGATCTACAACAATATATCAATTATAACCCCTGGAGCTAAGCATGACATAGGATGGTTACAAAATAAAAGTAACATGACTGCATTCATATCATTTTTTAATTAGTATGACTGATTGGAATTCCAGAAATTCTTTTTAAAAAATTAATATTGGATAATAATTAAACAATAAAAGTAAAATACTAACCTTCAATATCTGTATCTTCTTTATGTGTTTTTCCATTTTGATTAGATGGTTGATATTTGTACACCTTAAAAAAAAAAGGTTAATAAATTTTGAATTGTGCATTTTGATATATTTGTTAATTTCACTTGCCAGATTATCATGTGTTAAAAGGGTAAATTGCAAAACAAAAAAAAACAATAATAATAATAATAATATTTCTTTCCTCACACATGCACATAAGGCTGTAACGTGGAAATTTTAATCTGAACATAATTAAAGTGTGTGCTCAGCAATTACCATAATTAAATAAACAAACAATAAAATTGGAGAAAATAATCTAGTAATGGTTCAATAGAAATTGCACTCCTTAACTCTTTCTCTCTGTAATTATTGTCAACATTCCAACAGAATCATTCATTTTGCTCATGTATTTCACTACCCTGTTCTGATTAAACTTTAATAACTTTTTTGCATGTTATCAGAAAATGATATAGATCTATTTAGTAAAGGATTACAGGGGAATGCAGGCCCTTTACAGGTAAAACAAATTGATAAAAGAAAATAAAAGTTTATTCTGGATAATGGAATTTAAAAATAAAAATTTACCCACTGTGGAAAAAGTCATTTTAGAACTAGATCTAGGCAAAATTTATGACCAAAATTGAAATAAAAGTATTTTTTATGATAGTTATTATTATATATTTTTAAAAAATGTAATATTTATAACATAAATAAAACATTTCAGTTAATTGTCTTGAGGTCACTATCTCATGTCACCACCCTATGAAAAATGTATATAATATAGAAAAATATAGCCTTTAAGCCCACACTCTTTAAAAGCATTGATTTTAGTAAAAACACATTGAAAATTAATTTTTTTTTAAGGGAAACTATTCAAGATTAAATTATGAGCAATTATAAACATTTACATAAAGGGAAGAAAGAAAACCAAACTGACTTTCTAAGCATCTAAAATAATATAGTGGATAAGGCTGCAGAATAGAGTTAAATCAATGATGATTTGGAGAGAAAGAGTTAAACCTTAATCTTGTTATCTTCAGATTCTAAGACGAGCTAAAGATTATTAGATCTACAATAATCTGGATCTATTCCTATATAATCTAGTCTATATAGTATATACATATAGACAATATAGATCTAGATCTCTAGTCCCTCAGTCAGTCACAATTACTTATACTCATTAACCCTTTTAATACAGAGCATTTTAGCATGTCTTGTGCCAAAAAGACGGAGCACTATTTCCAGCCGTAACACTTCTATTACAAAAAAATTCCTAACAAATTAACTAATTACTTTACATACACAAAACTATATTAGTATATATATTATTGAAGTAATTTAATCTCATGGAATGTATCTGAAATATTAACATTTATTAAAAATAAGCCAAGCTAATTTGCATAATTTATGCACATAAATTATGAAATTCCAAAAAAGTTTTGTCAAAACAGAATGGAAAAGGTAAGAGTTTTTTAAAGAAGTTTTAGGCTTAGTATATCTAGATCTAGTATTAATGTAAATTTAGATATAAAGTGACATTATCATTATTATGATATATGACAATTTATGATTAGTAAGAGTCAAGAGTAACATTCATATTGACTCCGATTGAGTAGCACTGCCATTGCACTGGCAGATAAGAGTCTCAGAGAGTACCCGAGCCCGAGTAGTCTAGATAGATTATGAGTGATTCTCATATAAATAATAATTCTAGAGCTAGCTCTACCCTCTCTAGATCTAGATGATAGAGCTATTAAAATCTACTAACTAGAATTAACTAGGATCTATAATCTATATCTAGACTAGTTCTAGATATAGATTAGTTTTTGTTTTTTTACTTGATTGATTCAATGCAAATCTGATTCTGCACATTGATGATCGGTTGAATCAAGAGTGCTCGGCCTTTTATTATGCTTCCGGTTACAATGTAACATAAATATCTAGTGTGTTACGGTGAGTGTGTACGCTTTTTATCTAGGCGTGCTTGTTTTTAACACATCTAGACTTTATCTAGAGTCTATAGATCTAGTATAGAATCTAGATCTAGTACTATAGTATACAAGATATCTGGAGTCTATCATATCTTCATAATCTTGATCTAGTCTAGTACTCCGCTATCTCTAGATCTAGATTCTAGTTTTAGATCTACATAAAACATTCACATTGTCATCTACATTATGAATTATGGTATGTTATTGTTATAATTGTTACTTACTATTATAATGTTAGCCTATTCACTGATAATCCAGGCTATTCATATAACTTAATACTTATATACCTCACTTATTAAGTTATTAGATAATTAGTATTAGCCAGTAGAGTCTAGAAGTAGGTCACTGTGTGATGTAGTCTATGATAGTCTCTATCAGTCTATGGCAATAAAAAAAAAAATAAAGTTTATAAACTGATTTTAATTAATTTAATAGATTAGACTAGATTTATACTCTATACCAGGGGTCTCAATCACGTGGCTCGCGGCCACCTCCACGAATTAAATAAAATAGATAAAATTTACAATTACCACATATAAGCCGTGAAATGATTTACAACTGCACAAATCAGTAAATGAGGTGTCCGCCCACTGCAAGCGAAGATTCTGTGAAGGCAAGCTTTGTTGTTAACGAGATGGCATCACAACCATTCACTGAAGGCCAGTTTGTAAAAGAGTGTATGCTACAGGCGTGTGAAATTATCTGCTCCAAGAAAAAGAAACTCTTCGAAGGCATACGTTTGTCTGTGAACACAGTTGCAAGCAGGATCACAGAGTCAGCGACAAATGTTCAACAGCAACTGATTGCCGCTGCAAAAAACTTTGTAGCATATTCCATTGCACTGGACGAGTCTACTGGTGTAACAGACACTGCATACTGTGCCGTATTCATTCGTTTGGGTCGACGAAAACTTGAACATTGTTGAAGAGCAATTCGACTTACTATCCATGAAAGGAACGACGACTGGACGCGACGTGTTTCAAGAACTGGAAGCTTGTATTGACAGGTGTGTGGGCTACCTTGGGAAAAAACTTGTTTCAGTGGCTACGGACGGTGCACCAGCAATGTGTTCAGAGAAGGTTGGTGTTTTTGGATTAATGGTAGAGAAATGGTATCAGCTCAGCTTGGCGGGACCTTTTGCAGCCATACACTGAATTCTGCACCAAGAAGCACACTGTGGCAAAAGTCTACAAATGAAGAACGTGATGGATGTTGTCGTGAAGACAGTGAACTTCATACGTGCACGGGGTCTCGACCACAGACAGTTTGTGTCATTTCTAGCTGATTTAAAAACGGAATACGAAGAGTTGCTTTATCATACGGAAGTCAGATGGTTGAGTCGTGGAAAAGTGCTGCAGGGATTCTTTGAACTGAGACGGGAAATAGCATTGTTCATGGCAATGAAAGACTAAGACTTACCTCAGCTCAGTGACCCAATTGTTTTGTCGGATCTTGCTTTTCTTACTGACATCACGCAACATCTCAATGCACTCAATTCACAACTACAGGGCACAAAGCAGCTGATTACCGTGATGTTTGACCACATCAAATCATTCAGATGCAAGCTGATTTTGTTGGCCACTCAGCTGGCAGATGGAAACCTGGCTCATTTGTCTTTTCTACAGAGCATTACAGTTGAACCACAGCGCCTGAAAGACTACGTAGACATTCTCTCCGGACTACCGCTTTCAGCAATTCACTGCTCTCGAATCACAGTTTCCCCTTTTTGCCACTCCGTTCGCAGTTGACGTGAAAAACGTTCCAGAGGAAGTCCAGATGGAACTACTGGACCTGCAGTGTGACACTGTTCTGAAGCAAAAATATGCTGATGTTGGCATTCCAGATTTCTACCAGTTTCTTCTCTCTGAGAAACTAAATCTGCGCAGCTGCTAGAATTCTAGCGATGTTTGGGAGTACGTACATTTGCGAACATTTTTTTGCAGAATGATTAACTAAACAGCATTACGATCAAGACTGACTGATTAGCATCTGAGAGCAACCTTGCGGCTTGCCACTACACGCGACTTCAGGCCTAACGTTGATGGTCTGGTCTCTGCCAAACGCTCTCAGCTGAGTGGACAGAAACATGAGTGACGAGCCATCTGCAGTAGGACTAGAAATTATAGTTGTAGTTTTTTGGGTAACTACAGTTTCTGCTTTTTAATAAGTGACAGAGACAACATCAACTTATTTTAGTAAACTATACTGCCTGTGCATGTAATAAACTACACTAAATGTAATTAATAATTATAAAAACTTTATTTTGGCATTTAACTGCAGTGACAGTAGTGTTCGTAAAATTTAATGAAAAAATGTTCTCTTTTTGTGGTGCGGCCCGCTGAATGGTTGTTACTATCCACTGTAGCACACATGCTGAAATGAGTTTGAGACCCCTGCTCTATACTCTATATAAACTATATTTATATATTAGTATTAGTAGTATAGTCACTAGTATAGTATTAGTAAGTATAGTATATACTAAGATCTAGTATATATATTATATTAAATCTAGACTCTAGTAAGTTAAGTCTATTACTAGTTAGACTCTAGAATCTAGATCTATTAAAATCTATGTATAGTTTTAATTTTAATATAGATCTAGAATAATCTAGATTAGATTATAGATTCTTCTTATATTTATACAGGGTTTCTGAAGCCTCCTGACATTCCAGGATGTCCTGGAAATCTACTAGAATTTTAAAATATATCATTATATCTCTTATGTCCTGGAATTTTGCAGATCGAAAAGAAAAAAAAAACATTTTCAAAAAAAGTTAGTTGGCACCTTTAAATCAGAGGATGGGCCAGTGTGGGTAGAAAAAAATTCTAAAGGCGCTGGCTCCTGATTTTTCCTCATGGCTGACTCCCGGCCTTTGCCACCTCTCCTGTTAGTGAAAACAGTTCCGCCGGACTGAATACCTGAGCCACACGTGAAGGCCAGGAGTTGGACTGGTTGTCAGCTTAAGTCGCTTGCATTTTATTGGTAATGAAGTGCTTATAACCATTAAACTTTCAGCAATGACAACCTAAATTATGCCAACTTTGGCTATTGTTATAATTTTTTTCTCAAATTTTATGTCCTGGAATTTTATCATTTCTCCTAGAAAACTCCTGGAATTTCAGATTGACTTTGGTGCAGAAACCCTGTTAATATAGATTCTAGATCTATATTAGATACTATTATATAGATTTTAGATCTAGACAAATATAGAATATAGTCACTCTTACCCATGATTTTGTATTCTTGATTATAGATCCTTATATATATTTCTAAATAGGTGTTGTAAAAAGATGCTCCATCCTAATTCTCTACATACTTCTGTTAGTTGGGTCTCAGTTAGTAGTCTAATTTATTCTTTATATTTGCTAATGTGCGACTAGAATCTATATTTACTCTTTTTGTTTTAAAGGTTTCAATCCTGAAATCAACTTAGCAGCATAAGAATCTCGCAAAGGGAAAGCACTTAAGAATGGCTACAAAACGATCATCAGCACAATTATCCAAAAATGTTTTGCAGATGAAGGTACTAGATCTAGTTTCAATCTGAATGAAAATCATTGCAGCTCATTGAATGAGTAAATCTATTTACAAACTAGACTGTGAGTCAGTAGGAATACATTCATAAAATATAATGTATATTTATCTCTAGTATATTATTCAATATCTGTGTAGTAATATAATTTCACTTTTTATTTCAGTTTATGCAACGAAGTGCCCTGAGAATAGAACAAGAACAAAATGAAGAAAACTTACAGAAAATCATTGATGATGAACATTGGGCTTTAGATTTGCCAGACTATAAAACCAAAGAGTAAGATGAGTTTTTACATTTAGTGTATTAAGAGGAAGTGTGTGTTTCACAGTTCATCTATGGCAAGACACACAGAAAGTCTCTGCTCATCCACTGCACCCAAACTCGTCCCCAGACGCCTTGAATATTGCTTCTGGAAAAGGGTGGGCTTTTAGGGCGAGAGAGTGAGGTCAACATGTTGTGCAAATCCTCCTCACTTTAATCAAAATTTTCAGCGCAAGACACTTAGTCAATTCCACCCCCCACACACACCCAAAAGCAAAACCCTCAGCCCCCTGGATGACAAAAGTGGTCATCATCGAACCACAATGGACAAATTATATATATTTATATGGCTTGTTCAACTGACCTAATGTTTTTACAATTCATTGTCCTGAATGAGGTTTGTTTATCTGTGCAGTTTGTTTGTTTAATTACACCTTCAATTTTTTTGTTTTGGAGGATTCTTTTCAAACGCAGTCCATTAAAAAAATATGATTCATTGTTTATTTCTGGATTAATATTTTTTCAATTCTTTCTTGTATAGCCTTGATAGAGCCTTTTTTCTTCTCCAAATTCTTTGTTGTTGAATAATCTAAGAATGTTTGTGCTTTCTGCTGTTTTGTTTTATTTTGTAGTTTCTTCATTTACATTGTCCAAATGCTTGCTGTTTATTTCATTCTGTGATTTCTCCGCTATTTCTTTTTCTCTTGTGTCATCAATTTTGTAATGACTGCATTGCATTTCTGGCTTAGTTTCATCATGGTGTTGGACCAATCCGCTAAAACTTGTTAACTGCAATCTTCTGCTCCTTCTGTGTATTGAAATACTGTAGCAGTTATTATTTAGTAATCCTTGACCGTTGCATTTTTTATTATCCTTGTCGTCAGTTAATGTGCAATGGCTTCTTTTGTTTTGTTCTTATTTCTTTTCCTCTCTCTTTTTTCTTCCATTCATTCATCTCATTATTGTGACAAGCTGTAATCCACTCAATCTAAGTCTGTTCATTCATTCATCTCATTATTGTGACTACCTGTAATCCACTCAATCTAAGTCTGTTCATTCATTCATCTCATTATTGTGACTAGCTGTAATCCACTCATTCTAATTCTGTTCATTCATTCATCTCATTATTGTGACTAGCTGTAATCCACTCAATCTAAGTCTGTTCATTCATTCATCTCATTATTGTGACTAGCTGTAATCCACTCATTCTAATTCTGTTCATTCATTCATCTCATTATTGTGACTAGCTGTAATCCACTCAATCTAAGTCTGTTCATTCATTCATCTCATTATTGTGACTAGCTGTAATCCACTCATTCTAATTCTGTTCATTCATTCATCTCATTATTGTGACTAGCTGTAAT